GTTAGATTTTAGGTAAATTTAATTTGCGTGAGGTATGTTCTTAAAAGGCACCTTAACACTTGAAAACACAAATATAATTATAATAGTTGTTGTTTTCTCCACTGAAGATTGAGATTAGTTATTTTATTCCAATCTGGAATAAAATAAGGCTTTTTTTGCAGACATTCTACAGCTAAACGAAAGAAAGAAATCTATTTTAATAAATTGAGGTATTTTATATTTATTTCGCCGCTTACATAAGGAAAAAATATGTGCATTAAATTTCGTGATGATATGTCATCATACTGCTATAACTAATTTCAGGATTATGCCAGAGAAAATTTCCTGAAATTTGGAAATATTATTTACTAATAATAAATAAATTTAGAGGGAAGAAGCAACATTAAATTATATGAATAACATAAAAATAAAGATAATTACTTAAAAATTGAATTAGAATAATCAACGATATTTTAGCGAATATAGTTATATTACATGGCTAGCCTAGATGACTGATTACTATTTTTTTATTTTACTGCAAAATGGCAAGGTATTTATTAAAAAGAAAAAAAAAAAAAGGTTTAAAAAGATTTTGTGGTAAAATTCTAGTATACGGTAAGGCTTTGGCACGATTTTGAAAATTGTCGCCAAGACCAAAATGACCCGTTTTACTGCGCATCATGATGTCGCCAAATCCCATTATTATTTTAACCAAAGAACGTCTATGTAAAGAAGAAAAGGTTCCATACAAGTAAAATGCTATTACGCCGCTAGAATGCGGAGGGAAAATCTGCCAAGGGATTTGGCGACAGAACCTGGCAGCCAGAATTTCCCTCTAACTTCATGACTAACTAACGGCTAAGACTAAACTTCAAGGTTGCGGTGCCCGCTACAATATAACAAGCGGTAAAGTGTCTCATTTATGCCGCTCCGCATCTGCGAGTGCAATCCAGAGCTGTAACTCGAGAAATAAACAATCTCGTTGTTAGGCGACGTGTGCGCCACATTATTTTCATTTTTGCGATAAATGCTTATCGACGTGGTGTCCACGTCGCTCGCGGTTTGAGACAAAAGCATCTCGACGTGCGTGGCACGTCTTTTTAGCGCAAGTGGTTAAAGAAATTTTAAGCGATATTCATTTTATGAACTCTTGATAATGTGACCTTTGAACTTCGACACCGGTTTCGAGCTTTGGCGACAGATATATCGGACATGCTCAGGTGTTTCCCTCTATGATGAAACGGAGCCACGTCTGTTGCAGAGAGGTTTTCCTTCTTTACAATACATATTCTTTGATTCTAACCTCCATGGTACTGTATGCTAGGATTAAACCCATTTTGTTTTATACGAGAACAGGTACTTTCTTTAGTTCATGCACTGCACATGCGATTCTCGAGAATACTGAAACCAAAAGTTGCGGGAAAGTTGCTTTGCCTTTCTAAAAGACAACCAAATTGGAACTGAGAAAATTGGCTCTATGCCAGCTACCCGAATGACACTCACGTGATACATAATTCGCCAAAAAAGTTATCTCTTCTGACGTCGGCGCAAAAATCGCTTTTTTTGGCGGGATCGTTGTATGAACTTCCCTGACTTTTCCATATTTTGACAAAAATACTTAAATTCCCTGAATATTTTGGTCAATTTTCGAATTCCCTGACTTTTCCCGGTTCTCCCGGTTTTCCAGGTAGCATGGCAACCCTGATTGAATGATGGCAAAATGAATTGTGTGTGTGTGTGTGGGGGGGGAAATATTTGTTCTTCACAAAATATTCTTTGTTTTAGATATAATCTACAGAAAATTCAATTGCTTTCAGACGTCCAAAATGACTTTGGTTTTTTTGTTAATATAACGATGTTAAGCCAAGTTCCATAAAAATCGTGAGAAATTATAAGAATAAGTCGGGAGAAATATATTGTAAATCGAGTCGGCGGGAGAGCGGTCGAAAATCGGGAGAGTTGGCAACTCTGCAAGTTACTTACTGGCAATTGTACGAAGGCCGAATGCTTGATCTGAAAAGCAGATGATGAGCCAGAAAATCTTTTTAACAAAATTTAAAAACTATAATTAAATTTTTAGTCACGTGGCCTGGCGTTGAAGCATACAATGATGAAGCCTTAACCCCTTTGAGACGGGTAGCGAAAACGCGCGCTTATCGCTGAGGCCGGCAGTGTCTTATGCGAGCGTCTCTCCAAAGCCGGGGACTTTTTTGCTACTAAGCCTAAATCCATGAAATTTCCGAAGTATCAATGCATTGTTTAATACTGCTCTATAGAGTATTTAAACGGCTTATGCTTTATAAATATTTTTATATATATACTTTAATTACCTTATTTCTTGTTTAAATGCATATTTTACACATTTTATTTTAATTACTCACCATTTTATGAATTTTAACATTATACATCTGAAAACTAAATATATTACTTAAAATTCTCTTTTCGTATGAAAAATTTGAAAACAGGGATTTACACACAGTCCTACGTTACATTCCTTGCACTCGTAATAACTCATTTGCCGTTTTGGAGGATTTTTCCGGGAATGTGAACAAACGAAGCATCGTCGTCTCATTTTCTTATCAGTCTCTTCTGAACAAAGTTTTGGAAAATGTCTTTCAGTTAATCTTTCAGAATCAATATCAGAATATCAGAATTTCAGAATCAATATCTGAAATATTTTGCATCATTTCTGCTATTTCATGCTCTGTTAAACATTTTCGACGCTTCGACATTGCAATGGTAAAAACAAAGAATTCACGTCTAACAAGATCTAATTATTTTCTAAAAACTGAACTGCAAACCGAAATACCTAATGCTTTAGAGCAAATAAAACTTCTCTACTTACAGTAAACAACTACCACGTGCGAATAAAGTGCGATTTAAAGAGACGTCATAAATCACGCCATTCGGAAACATTTATTTCTCCGTTTGTTTATATAATCAAAAACACGTGTATGTGAGTCATGCTTCTCTCATTTCGAGTAGAAGGTCTAATTTACATGTATCTGAAACCATATGGATATACAGTGCCATCTTGTGGCAGAAATTATAGTTTGAAAAACGTTTCAAAGTACTGGCACAAAAACGTGACAGTTGGTAGAGAATGGAACAATCCTCTGGTACGCATGCGTGTCGGCCGGTAGGTAAGTGCGTTGGTTGCTGGCACGTATACGTGACAGTCGGCGCGAAGGGGTTAACCCTTTGAGGTTCGGTGCATAGGGAAAAAGTTTTTTTAGAAGAAAATAACTTTACACATAGATAACTAGTCTCTAATACAATGTTATTTCATGTAAAAAAAAAAAAAGAAGTGGGGATAATAAGTAGGGTGGGATACTGTTTGAAAAAAAAATCGTTAATACGTAGGGTGGGATACTGCCAAAAAAAAAGGGGGGTAGGGGGATACTGCTTGTCCCACTGCACCTAGAGCAGTAAAATAACATCTTTGCCACAGCATAAATTCTCCTAACATGCTTATCTAAAGTGCTAGTTTTAGCAACTAAATGAAAATGCAAAATATCAAAAATGTTTTTAAATAATTATCTAGAATATATTGATCATATTTGCAAAATAAAAAAATAAATTTCAAAAAATTACATAATTTAAAAAAATCACTCTCTGTACGACGAGATATTTTTTAATGATTTCAAAATAGATTGAAACAGAGAAGATTTTCGCTCCAGTACTTTATTTGCTACAGGTTTGAAAAGGAAGATATTTAGAAGGCCATCATGATTTACATTCCAGCTCTCTTTCTTCTGCTTAGGATATTTTTCTATGGTGAATCACACTTACATATCCATTCAGTATTCAATGACATTTCACGCTACAGAGTTATATTTTCATTTCTTTCGGAAAAAAATACTAAATATTTTTCAAGTTTTAACATTATTACAATTTATTAAAAAATATAAATCTGCATTATCAACATATAAAACGAATATGATACTTGAATTTAAACATATTTGAACGGTGCTGCCATCTAGTAGCATCAATTCCTAGATGCGTGGTGGGATGTATTTGGTCCCACCTTTTAATTTCAATCATTCTTAATTAATATATACGAATACAAACAATAATTTTTTTAGAAAAGGAAACAACATAAAAATATTCATTCTAATAGCAAAAGTTGTTCAGATGACTTAAATTGCATTAGAAATAAATAAAAAAAAAACTGCTTCAAAACTTTTGTTTTACATTATTTCCATGAATGAATACTGATGCTCCCATGGGTTATACATTTAGAAAACTAAAAGGCGTAATTGTATGTATTTTAAATAGAATTTTGCAGCTTTCATGTGGAAGATAAAAACTGATAAAAAAGGTAGGACACCTGGCATTCCACCACCCGTCAAAGGGTTAACCTGTTCATGCTATCTTTTTTTCCTTGAAAGCAGTCACGCAAATAAATGCCATCTATATCTTTATAGTCCTAAAAAATATAAGCACCATACTTGCAACAAATACATTATTGAAATGTATTTGCAGACCCCATAAAATTACTATGGGGGAACATATGTGGCCCACAAGTTTGAGACCACTGCTGTAGGATACAAGGAACACAAAGCATTACATCAAACAAGTGGCATTATTTCTAATGCTGGATCAACCCATAACATTGTTCATAAAGAGAAGAAGTTCCACAAAGGACTGGATATTTGAAATAAAATAAATACATTGAGCTGAACAGCTTCTTTATTGTGATGCTGACAGCAAAGAATTTCAGCAACATATCATCATCATTGAAGATGAAAGCGATTATAATTCAATGTAGAGCAAAGTTCAATATGAGGATATTATAACTATTTCAATATTTTAAAAAACATTTTATTTAAAAAAATCCCATTTCCCCAAAAATTGTAACCAGTTAATAAATAAACATTTTTTGAAATTATACTCTTTAATCAAAGTGGGATCTCAATTTGAATCTTGATTTGACTAATTCTTATTAGAATGGGTGAAAAATAAGGCAGTTCAAGATAAGATAATACTCATCATAAAGTAACTATAAAATTAAATCTTACCACTTCGCTTCCCCTTCTGGCCGCATCTGCTTAGCATATTTCACTGCACATGCTTGAAGAATTTCCAATATTACAGGATCTGATTCTGGAAGATTAACTTTTGCCATTGCAAGAGCATCACTAGATACAACAGAAAATTATAAGCACATTAATAGGGAAAAATTAGCAGATATATTACTAACAATGCACATTGTGCGTTAAGTAAAACAATCACAAATTAAATGACAAAAAATACACATGATTTTTAACAATTATGAGCATATATGTTGTGAGATTCTGAATGATTACATTCCTATTTATACATTATAAAAATGCACTGCTTTTATGAATTATTTTTTTTCAAACAGTAATTCACAAAATAGAAGTCCATAAAAGGAAGTACAATTAACAATTCAATTTCTATACACAAGATAACACTTTCACAACAAAAAAATACCATACTATTGTTTTCCACTAAATGAATTAAAAATCTGGATATTTTCCCCTTTAAAAAAAGTATTTAATTTTTACTTTTAAATATGAATTTGTAATTCAGAATTTCTGAAAATCGTGAGTCTGTCTATAAAACATATATGACCATACCAGTACATAATCGAAGATCCTGAATTTCTCATTGGAAAGGGGATGAACACATCAAAATTTGCATTTCATATCTAAACTAAGAGGGAAAAAAAAAAAAAGAAAGAAAGAAAAAGAAAGAAAGAAAGAAGACCCCCCTAAAAAACAGGTTTTTTTAAAACTAGCATGAAATATATGAAAAATACAGAAAATATCAAAAATTTACATTTGTTGAAGACTCTATTGATCATCTCAATAGAACCCAACCATCACTTTTCTAATTCTGATCTCTTTAGACATTGCAAAGATGGTGAGAAAAATTTTTTGCTGTTGCCACTAATGCTACATAAGTCGTAGTCACTTCAGAAAATGTGCTTCTATAATGCTTAATACAGTAAATAATTTTAATTCACCATTCAAAAATAAAAACTAATAGATTCCAGCATATCAATATAAAAAATACCAAGACTAATACTGAAGTACTTTTTGTTCATATTTAGAACCTATTCTATCTAAGAATCTAACTTAAACATCTTTAACTGGAAGACTAAGGTCAAGAATAGAACAGCCTGGAATGAAATTTTAAAGAAGGCCAAGGCCAATCATGGGCTATAGAGTCATTAAAGAAGAAGATATCTAAAAAGTAACAAACAGTTTTCCTTCTTAAAAAAAGGGGAAAGAGAGAGCAGTACTTACTGCTGAAAGATTGCAAAATATCGCTTCTCACATATATGCATATACCACGTCTACAAAAGCATTCTTTCCCTGGCCCTTATTGATACTAACTTTCAACCATAAAAATGTTTTAAATGTTGTAAAGATTCATATTTTGCCATTTTTAAGTTTAAAGAAGTCATTTTTGTAAAAAATCAGTAAATCTGACTTTTTGTACTTGCTTCCAGTCCTAATAATTGTATTTAGGGGGAGGTTGTACTCCTTATTAAAATAACACATAAAAGGCTTGGGTCTCATACAACAAAAATGGATCAAGATAAATAATAATAATAGTATATTATTAAAGTCGAGCATCAGATTCAGGGATCATACACATATCGAAGAACAATATGTTTGTATTTGTATGTAACTAAAAATAAAATTATAAGTTTAAAAGGTTTCTGATATTAAGAGTTTAAGTGATCTACATTTCTATGAAGATTAGGAAAGACGTATTACTCAACATAGTTTTTTTTTTTTTTTTTTTTTTTTTTTTTTTTTTGTTTCCCAGAATCTTATAGAATTCATTCTCTAGAAAACACCAGAAAGCTTTGGTATTGGCACCTGAATAACTCTTAATATTATTTGCATTAATTAAATCAAAAAGTATTTGTACTTTAATGAATTTTTGTAAAATTACCAGATTATTATTCTAAAGTAGTAAAACTCAAGAGACTGTTCATATTTAACTTTCCACTTTAAAAAGTTATAAATTACTTGTGAGAAAAAAATTTTTAGTGCACCAAATGTAACAAAATTTTAAATAAAGTCACCTGTATATCACAAGAGAATATCACTGAATGACATTTAAAAAGGGGGAAATCAATCTTGAATCATGCTAATTTATGCATTATCCAACATCTTAAGAGAAATTAAAAAGGATGTCATAAATGGAAATATCTGGATAGTTTTGGTCATATGGGAATCAAACTTTTTTCATTTTACTTTTTTATAAACAGAACTGTACAAAGTCCGTAATCCGGACTCGTCGGGACTTCAGTGATTCCGGATTAAGGGTTTTTCCAGATTATAGATTATCAACTTAAATCTGGTAAGATGGCATGCAGAAATTATACAATTAAAAATATGAAACCGTAATTTATGAAATAAAGAGCAATTATGATCTAAAAGGTATATCAAAATTTACAAAAAAAAAAAAAAAAAAAAAAAAAAAAAAAACTTAATATTTATTTGTTTACTATTAAACATTTCTTTCAATGTATGTTGTTTAAGTTGCTTCCGTTTTTGTGCTAAATGTGCATGCGTAACGCATATACAAAAAAAAAAAAAAAAAAAAAAAAAAAAAAAAAAAAAAAGGTTTGTGGCTTTGAGGTCCGGATTATAGATCATTCTGTAAAATGGACGTCCAGATTACAGACTTTGTACTGTATAACATTTTCCTAAATATGAGGAACATGCAGATGTTAGATTTCATAATTTTTACAAATTTTTTTTTAGAATTAAAAAATGCCAAAACATGAATCACTGCATTATTTCAAAGCCTTTTGTAACTGAATTCATGTGTAACACCAATGGTTGCAAAATAAAGACCTGGTAAGGATTCTTATGAATTCAACCAAAAATGGAACTCTATCTAACCAAAGGCAAAAATTACAAATAAATGTGATGTAAAAACTTGCAAAACAAACCCAAAACAACATGAATTAATAAAACTCTGTTATGGCAGAAAAATAAAAATAAAAGTTGAATAAAGATTGATAATTTCTTGCTCTTTGTTCAGCAGTAGCCAAAAGAATTATCAAAAGAGTGCAAAGCAAAAATAACTAAATGAAATACTCTTTTTAAATGAAAAATGAAAGTAATTAAATATGAATAAATTTATAAAAAATTTTTTAAGAAAATTAAAGAAATTTTAAAAAAGCATCCACCACCTGCTTCAATGCAACTTGAAAGAAAACGTGCAAATGTTCTGCAATATATCAACGACAGTTCATATCGTGAATTTGTTTGCAAAATGTTCAGGTTCACTAAACATATCTCCTAACAATGTTCCTCAGATAAGAGGTACAAATCTTATCAAATAAGCAATTAAGAAAACTAAAACAAATAAATACCGTATTTGATGGCATATAAGACGCACCTTATTTAGACGGCCACACACATGTAGATGTAGAAAAAGTTATGTGTGTCTAGACATTTATCCGGGCTAAAAATAGCATTCAGTATTGTAAGTTAAACTGTGTCCTTCACATATAAGATGCAGGTAACTTTTTTTTAGACCAAATTTAGGAAAAAAAGTGCGTCTTATATGCCGTCAAATACGGTAATACATTTTTTAAATATAATACATTCTAAATACATAAATGATTATAGTATGTAAATTGGAAGCACGTGAATGAAGTGAGTAGCACTAACAGCACTTCTGGTACTAAATTAAAAAAATACTACACAGTACTTAACTCGGACTTTTGTCTTTAAGGTATGTATTTATGGTGTGAGTCCTACCCAGATGGGGTTGGGGGTAAATGATTGACTCACCATCTGGAGACTCACTGACGAGTAAAGGGGACATTAGTGACAAGGCAGCTATATAACATATGGAAGGATAAAGGATCAAGGAAGTTCGTGTTACGGAGTTCTTAGGCATAAACACCTTTACCTCCACATCATCTGAAGAATAAAATGTCATCATCAAAAGAGGGAATTTTCTAATATGGTAAAAATTTTGTAAGCCGAAAAAAGCTTTTAAGAATAAGTGCCTTCACACTGAAAACAAATATAAAAACTCAGAAGGTCTAATTTTGCACCAAAATAAGAGCCAGAATAAATTAGATAGGGACAGACATCTTAGACAAAATTTTTGCTAAAGACTAGAAAATAAAAGCAGGTGTTTCCTTGATACTTGATCTTTCTTTGCGAATGTCAACTTCGTGGAGGGGAAAGGACGGGGGGGACGCTCTTACGCGTCGAAAAAGTTGCTGTGTCAGTTGGTCAGCTGACGGAGGGAGCAGTTTCGTTTCCGCCCGCTATTCAGTGTGGTCTTTAAGGCCAAATGATTGACACCTCTTAAGGGGGTGCTAAAAGCAAGTAAAAGGTCCTTTTATAAGGGCTGAAAGAGCTATTTTGAAGTAGAGAAATAGTCAATTGACTTTAGATTTAAAAATTAGGTTCAGTTGCCTGCGACTGTAAAGCTTCTTCTTAAAGAAGCAGGAGGGGTTCCTCCGGTCAATGACTTAAATATGGAAGGAGCTCCCATATTACACTGCTGGCTAATAAAATTGCAACACCAGGAAGGAATCATCTGATAAATGTCAAAATCCCACGAAAGGAAGAAGAGGTTGGGATATGCAAATGATTAGTATTTCAGCGCATTTACATGGCGCAGATGGGAGAAATGACATCTCATTTGGAAAGTGCTTTGTAAGGTCAGAGTTTGTTCAGAATATCGTGTTATGCCTCAAATAAGAAGAAGAAATGCTTACCAGCACATGTCGGAATTCGATAGAGGCAGGATCATTGCCTATTGAGAGTGTGGATTATTGTTCCATGATATCGCCTGTTGCATTGGTCACCATCCAACCACTGTCATGTGAATATGGAATCAGAGAGTTGCTGAGGGTCATACTGAATGGCATGCAGGATCTCAACGCCCTCCCGTGACTTACGCCCGAGAGGACAGACATATTGTGAGGTCAGCCCTGCAAAACCGTACAACCACATAATGGACCATTAGTCAGAAAATGGGCATGTTACCACTCATACAGCGTATCAATGTTTGTAGCAGCGTGGACTATCAGCACGGCAACCATTACTTCAACTTCCCTTAAAAATGCAGCATACAGACAGACAGCGACTCTGGTGTGCCAAACGACAAAGCTATATATGGGTGTGGCACAACATCTTTTCAGATGAGTAACCATTTTGCATGCAGTATTCTGATGGCCATATACGTGTCTGGAGGCTCCAAGGAGACTGCAAGTCTCCAGCTTGTATTCAATATCGGCATGGGAAAGCTGCACCTGGTGTGATGGTCTGGGCAGCTATTAGGTTCACGACACGCACATCTCTAGTTCGGATCAACAGTAATTTGAAAGCAGAATTGTACATTTCTGACATCTTACATCTAGTGGTTGTGCCCTGTCTTTGAGGTATGCCAAACGCCATCTTCCAAAAAGATAATGCAAGACCACATGTTGCACATAGTTTTCTGACCTTCCTCGATACACAGGGTATCAGACTGCTGCCCTGGTCTGCAGTCTCCAGTTATGTCACCCACTGAAAACATTGGTCATGGGTTGCTGAGTGACTGGCTTGCCATCTCTCTCCAGTTAATACGATTGATGAAGTGTGGCATAGAATTTGAAGCAGCATGAAATGAGTTGCCTGTTTCTGTCTAGTTCTGAAGCCCAGTTCAACTGCATGCCTAACCAGGTAAGGGTTGTTTTAGCTGCCAGGGTTGGCAGCTGTTTCTACTGATTTCACACCCCTGTATACCCCAAAACTGCTTAATAATTTAATCATTTTGTCTTCATGCCACACTGTTTACATACAAATAATATTCCTTTTTGCATTTGCTTTCCTTCATGGTATTACAATTTTAATGGCTAGAGTGTAAATGAGCCAGCAACACCGATTCTGGAGTGTCTTTCTTGAAAAAAGAACTACTACTATACCTTAACTTTTCTGAACAAGTTTTCATTTTCTTTTGTTGTAAATAGGATGACAGAATTGTATGGTATTGCTCACACCAAACTTTAACAAACCTCTGCATGACAGTCAAATAATTCATAACATTTGAACATGTAACGATCATCATTTTATCACTGCATTCAAGTCTTTTTATTATCGTGACTTTTTATTGTCACTCAGAATTTGATTTTCTCTCTTCACCAGATATCCCCCCCCCCCAAAAGCAAATAAATTTCACTCTTTGAGAACAGGTCTGTCTGCATCTGCAAAAGTTCAAAAAATGGGAAGCCCCTATTCTTAATATTAACAAAAGTAATAATTTAAAAGACTAAATAAGAAAACAGAAGAAAGACAGTAAGGCAAAATTGAAACAAGGAGGTCCCCCTCCCCAAAAAGAATTAAAAATAATAACCTGGAATACCAATGAGGCAGGACTGCCCAAGTTATTAAGAAAAAAGACAGAAAAAAAGAAATAAAATATATGTATGTGAAGATTTGGGAATTACAGAGATATATTTTAAAGCATATATATGATCTGTAACGAAAAATAAACTTAAAAGTTGTACATGGCAACAAGCAATCTTAGGAGATTTAACTCATATTCTTTTATTGTGATTAAACATTCTGCAGCCACAAATAATTTGTTACATTAAGTGTACCCATTCCAAAATGCAACATTTTTATTTTTGACATTAGTTTTGTATAAAGAGAAGCAGCAAGCAGCAGTCTAGTCAGCAGCAGTCAAAATGCAAGAGAGAAGTGCCTTATGTTCAAGATGAAATCTTATTTCTGAATGGACTAGTATCAGTCTGGTAAAACAAAACATATTCATACACAAGCAATCTAAAGTAGGTGAAGACCATTAACTAAGCTCTTACTCTATTAAACTACCATGACAGAAAATGTTTTCTAATATGTCTATATCTTATATTCAATTTAAGGTTACAATGGTCAATACAAATTCAATACAATGGTTAGATTTTAAATAAGTTTAATTGTTAAATAAAAGCTTCCCTTGAATAGTAGTGTAACCATGCTTTACACATGCAATCATTAAGAGGAAAAAGAGGGAGGGGAAAACTGCTTTTCCATCTCCATACTGGTAATAATAGCAAAAACAAATGTGCCATGTTAGGGTCAATGCAATACTTACATTGGATCTGACTTTTCTGCCATGATATTTACAGCATCATACACTTTGCCACACATCATCAAATACATTGCAGCTTTAAAATATAGCTGTTCTTCACACAACTGTTTCGCATATTTTTCACACATTTCCAGCCAAAATGTATGGGATACTAAAAGGAGAAGCACGTCAGAAGAATTTAAACACAAATTTAAAAAACAATATTTTAAAAAATTACATGATAAGAATTTTAAGAAAAATGTACTTTCCCATTAACAAGAGAGCCATTTGGCACCAAAGGTAAAAATGTTGATATGGAAATTTAACTATATGCAGGCAATCCTAATGACAAATAAGCTTCATTAAAAAAATGACTTTGTAATAACAACAATGTATCATTTAACATAAAAATGCAAAACCGCCAACTCTAAAACTGGAAAACTGGGAAATTTTTTTTTTTTTAATTCTTAAAATAAAATATATTAATATTTAATAAGATATTCTATTATTATATTAATATTTAATAAGATAAATGATGAAGACACTCTTTGATGAATTTCATTATGTAATTTTCTTATACTTTTAAATATTAACTGTTAAACATTGTTCAAATCTTCATTAATAATTAATTATATCTATATATTGGTATTGAGACAATTCAAATCAAATGAAATTTAATATTGTTAAGAATATTGTACACATAGATGTTTTATTTTTCTGCATAATGTAACATGAAAAATCTAGAAAGAAAAGCTGTGCCAGAGAAGTAAGAATACAGGGGCAAGTCCATTTAGCATTGAGTAAATGGGTGTCTAGGTAATTTGGCGAGATATCACCAGCTGGCAATAGTTTTCCCAACTAATTTTTTTTTTTTTTGAAAAATCGCCAAATTTGGCAAAGAATTGCAAAATTTGAAAACATTTGGTCAGTTCCCTGCATCATCGTAATAGGTGATCACTATATTACCTGTAACTGTAATTTGACCCTCATATCTGCCTTTCAGTAATTTCGAGAAGCAGAAATTATTGGAAATATCTCTGCAGACAGGTGAAAACTACATAAGGCTAGAGAAAACATCTGATTTCAGTTGTTGTTGTTAGCTCAGTGTGAGTTCCGAGTACTATTTCAAGTATAGCTTGGCTTTGCATTGCGTTGTGTTTAATGTTCTTAGTAGTTTGAAGTGTCACAACTGACTGTCTTCTTTAATACTGTGAAGAACTATACCAGTATTTCTGTAGAAAGTTTCAGAACTTTCAAGTGATTTTTTTTAATATAAAATAAATTTTATTAACCTATCATCGGACCTGTGTGCATTCAATCTATTATGAACTCGTATGCACACAACAATATGAGTTAATAAGTATAACTGCAATAAATATAGTTAATATAAATAAAATTTAATAAGAAAAAGATCATAAAATATGTTAAGAAAAAATAATATGATTCAGATGAAATAAAATTTAATAAAAAAAAATTATTCTGAAATTCACTAAAAGTGGTGGAATGAAATTTGCACAATTTAACTTTCAATCCAAAAAAATTCAATTATTATGGAGAAATATTTTTCTTAGTAAAAGTTAAAAAATTAAAACTCCGAAGATTAATTGATCTACTGGGAAAGTTGGCAGCTATGCATAACACTTAGCTGCCAACTTTAATACACGCAATGCCAAATTCCAGCAATTCTTCAATGTTTTCACTTTAAAAAAAATCAGAGAAATCACACAAATTCATCACTGCATACATTATACATTGCATAGCCATTTGAGACATGATATACACAAGCTACCACGTTGAGTGCTTGATGCACATTTGGTGACTGGCACACTGTTAACTGAAAAATAGAAAAAAGTAAAATTTAATACAACAAACCTGAAGGTGCCAATGACACCAAGAACTCGTTTAATGCTCCATCGACAGCCGCTCCTCTCACTGCAGATTCGATATTGCAAGTCACTAGTTTTAGATTGCACAGTTTGAGTTTATCCCCGTGAGACTTGTAACAATTCACTAAAATAAAAATAATTTTGGCACAAGATTATTCACGAAACAGATATTGCAGGCAGTAATATTTCATAATTTAGATAAAAATAAGCATTCATACAAATTGAAAAAATCCAAAAATAAATCACTCGAGAAATAACAGTAAAATTTCATGACTTCATTTCTTAAAATGAATTGCATATTAATAATATTTATTATTTTTTAATGCATGACTATCATCCTCAAGAAAAAGGTGGAAGTTCTCACATAAAGCCAAGGGTTTCTGGGAGGTTTTTTCTGCTGTACAATCTCAAAAGATATAAAAAATGGACTTGAATTCATGTTATGCATCTTTCAGTTTACGATATGAAATGTATTAATATTTAATTATATAGTCTAAGTTTTAAGTTCTTTAGTTATTTTCATTTTGTAATTTTCTTATACTACTAAAAAAAAAAAAAAAAAAAAAAAAGAGAGAGAGAGAGAGAGAGAGAAAGAAGGAAGGAAAGCTTTCCATCAAAGTACTACGAAATATGACAGAAATAAACTTAATAATTAATGTACATATTGCTTTTCATTTATATAATGTACATATTACTTTTCATGTATATAATGTACATATTACTTTTCATTTATATAAATGACATTAAAAATATTATGCCCCTTAAGAATCACAGCCTTTTCTGAATTACTAATTAATTTTTTATAAATTATTAATTTAAATAGTAATACTACTGATGTTAATAAATCAAAGTCAGAAATTAAAAAATATTTGCTCAATGAATTTTAGCATTTCATTTTATTCATTTACAGCAGATGCCACTTAATGTGATCCCGGTTAATGTTATCATTCAGATATTGTTATCAAAATGCCAAAGTCTGATGATTTGTGTGATGAATGACAACACTTATTGGGATCAACAATGAAGTTAATATCATCAAACTATTATTGAATAATTTTTTTAAACCAAAGTTGCCAATAAGAGATAAAGTCACCAAACAGGAACTTAGCCAGCCATTAATTAGGGAGGTCGATATGGAGTTCCTCCAAAACTGGCTAAAAAACCACCTGGTTAAAATTCAAACCACTGGAAAATAATAATAATAATAATAAATAAATAAATAAATAATAAAATTAATTTATTAAAAGGTTTTAATTGCATCTTTGAATTCCTTGTAGTACACACAATTTCTTTATATCAGTGCTTCCATTACATATACATCTTTCAAGCTAACACACTACGTTCACATTCTGCTGGCAGGTCACAAGTTTTGCACAGGTAAATAAATACATTTTATGATCTTACTATGATATAAGTTTCAATTGTGCTAATTAATTTTAAAATGGATAATGATTTTTTGAAAAGGGATGAGATAAGCTAAAATTTGATGCTATAGAGTGGAAATGATTCATAGAATCATTAAAGATTTATAGCTCTACGAGATGAGTTTCCTGGGGCAGAAAATGTTAAAAGAATTAATAAAAAAAATTCATATAGGTATTTAATTCTGAAAAGAAACAAAACCAGTAAGAGTCTTTTTTCAGCTGCTTTTAAATATTCCAAGAATTTAAGGTAACATATTACTGATAGATATGCTATTCGGATAAAAACTTAAGAAAATTTATTTGAAGTAAAAATAATGTACAGAAAGAAACCATTAGTTTATACATCATTAATGCCAGCCAAAAGAGCAACACCACTTACAATGGATAACTTCAGAATTATTATTTCATAGTTGCTACATTATTGCTCCCAGTTAAACACTGCTTAATCCGGAAAACAAGCATAAATGCATTTGTTTGCATTTTCTTTCTTTTGTCTCAAAGAAACAAAATTCATCCACTATCATAAAATGAACAATTATAATGGAGTCACTGCATTTATGTACAATAAACATGGACAAGTAACTGCCTTGTTACTTTAAAACTGTAATAATAGAAAAGCTGATGTACAACATGAGGACTAGATCTTAGAAGTTTACACACACCCAAACTGGAACTTAGACGCATAATTTTCTATGAGCATGATTCTCCAGATTATTGTGAATAACGATCCACAATTCACAACATTCAGAGAGAGAAAAATTGTTACCCAGTAAAAAATGCAAAGATTTTGTTTCCATCTTGGTACAAATCGGAATAAATCAGTTAACAGAAAAATATACTTAACTATTTCAAAATAGCACGAGACCACTACTAGCATTTTTTTTTTTTTTTTTTTTTTTTTTTTTTTTTTAAACTTTATGCGTGACTCAAATATGATGCATACAAGAAAAGGTTAAAAAAAAAAAAAAAAAAAAAAGTAACCACATACATATATATATATATTACTCATGGGGAGAGGGAATTCTGATAAACTCATAAAGCTAGACATTTCAGTCACCCAGAATGGAAATGGAGATGAATTACTACAATTTCATGGCTTTAGCAGTCCAAATACTGATCAAACTAAAGAAGAGAAATCCGAGTCACATCTGCATACATCATTTTTTCATGAATAATACCAATTTATGTTTTAACTAACTAAGTTTTACGGATGAACTTAGGTTTAATATGCAGTGTACAAAAAAAGGTTAGTTTATGATGACAAATGAAGAGAGACAATATTCTACAAACATGTACTTCTTTGAAACTAAAACAACTCTCGAAACAGAATTTTGGATAATTTTAATCTGATGTGTTTCATTACATTTTTTATTTGTTAATAGAATAAGTAAAATGTACCTTAGTAAAATATTTTAAAGCTGATACTTAGCAGAAATTCAGATACAAATTTTATGCAATTTGTTTTCTGAATTTTGAGCTATTTTAAAAATTCCTTTCAAATAGCATATCAAATTTAATTTATGCTCATGAATTACAGTGACATATACAAAAACTAGGGCACTCACAAGAATTAACTCTCCTTGATTTCAAGACTATTACTGAATACAAATCTATGTCTCTCTTTTAAGACATGAAACCATTAACTACTTACTACGCACCTAAATGTTTTCCTGCTTTTAGTACAATTAAGAGCTGGCATATGTCTTTACTGCAAATTATTGTTCGATATGAAATGCTAAAACAAAACACGTGAAACTAAGCTGTAGCTTTGTAACACTGATCTCTTAACCAAACAAAAGGGAGGGAGTATAGTGGATATTTAAAAAAATCTATGACATGTTCAAATAATTGAAACTTACATTGTTCGCATTATCAAAAAGGAACTTTTATATTGATTGAATTTACAAGAAGATTTAATGCAAAAAGGTAATTAACCAGAGATTATTAAATTTTCATGATACCAAGCAGGAAAGAGAGAGTTAGGGTAATCTCAATTATGAAGATTGTTTTCCATCATTCTAAGCACTGTGGGCTAAAAGTCTTCCCTCTTTTCCCACATTCGCATGGTTTTTAGCTGCATAGTATTTAAGCATTGTTTGCTCTTAGTTCTGATTCCATATATTATAACTAAGAAAAAACGGTTAAGCTTTACATTAAGTCATTGCTAACCATTGAAAATTAGATCCAAACTGAAATATTTTCTATTTTATGGCAGTTTAAAAACTGTTTCTGATTAAAAAAAAAATTATGCATCAGCATTTTTTAAAACTGCAATATTTTTAACTTAATTTGGTGATGTGACACCCAAAGCACCTTGGCTACACACCAGGCAAATAAGGTCCAAAGAGATTATAAAAATTGCCAAGAATAAAAAATTGTCGCCTACTAAAGAATTATGTCGTCAAACAACTTGTTTCTGATTTTGGTGGACTATTTAAATGTAAGTAAAAAAAAAAAAAAAAAGAGAGAGGCAGGCTTTAGTTCGCTTAAATTTTGAATACTTCCACACATTTTGAGGATGATCAGATACAAGTCTCTCTTCTTCCTATGGGAGAAGGGGAGGACCCTTCTGTAGATTTCCCTCTACTCCTTAGGAAATGGGGGGGGAAGAAATCTTCTGAAAACATCTATGAGAAATTGAGGTTGCTTCCCCCCCCCCTCAATTTAAAATTTTACATTTGCAAATTGTCTTCCAGAGATGCCCTTTGAGTATTAAGAAATTCTAAGCATTGTGTAACATCAGTCTAACTATACTACAAATTAACAGTTCATAAATGAACTATAGCATTAAAGATGTTACAAACTGGTCATAACACATTTTTCCCTTTTCCTAATAAAAATTCTTTGAAAATACTTGTATTTTCTCAATGTATTTATTCTCAATGCTTCTCAATGTATTTATACTCGGACTTTTCAGATTTTCCATGTGTGTTTTAAGAAAATTCCTATCTAGTCATATAGTATGCATTGGCTCTGCTGAAGGTAAATTAATTATGGTACCACTTGAAAACACAAAAAATTGATAATTACATATGATTTTTATTAAAAAAACATACTTTTGAACCCACAAAACATTACTATTATAACACAAATTATTCTCCTCAGTGATTTTCAAATTTTTGCCACACAATCTTACTACACAAAATTTACACACTAAACCAACATTCTCTTCAAAAATCAATTGTGCAGTACAAAGTCTGTAATATGAACTCGGGACTTCGGCGATTCCGGATTATAGATCATCAATTTAAATCTGGTAAGATGTCATGCACAAATTATACAATTAAAAATATGAAACTGTAATGGCATCTTTAGTTGCTTCTTTATGGAATTACAATAGCAGCAACAAAAAAGGATAAATTCCACCTCGTACTGGTTTTATACTTTGCAATTGTGCACTAGAAATGCGCGCTTGATCGCAATTCGTTCATTTGCCTGAAACTTTGATCATTGCATTTCGATCAAGATGTTTTTGCAACTAAATTGTCACGATCACAAAAGTTCTTCTTGGTGCTTTGATTTTTGAAAAGAGTGTATACACTTAAATATAATTTTTTTTAATTCAATTTGTAAGTAAATTGAGAAATTTTTTTTTAAAGAATTCTGTCCATCCCCAGATTTAATCTGTCCTTGGGTTTTCCTTTTGTCCGATGGACTTTTTTCCCTTCTTTTTTTCTCTCTCACAATCTTTGTCTGCATG